GTCTCAGCCTCCCAAGCAGCTGGGACCACAGGCACCCGCCACAACGCCTGGGCATTTTTTGGTTGCAGCCATCATTGTTGTTTGGCGGGCCTGGGCTAGATTTGAACCTGCCACCTTAGGTGTATGTGGCTGGCGCCTTAGCCACTTGAGCCACAGGTGCTGAGCCTATACTGAAGAATTTAAGGTTGCCACTTCCTTCCCATTTTTTCCCTTTCATGTGATGCAACAAGAGAGGGCTTCTCTATTTAAAGTGAGAGAGCCAAGTTATTCAATTCTTCACTTGACACAGAGATAAAACTGAAAGAAATTAAAGCTTTGAGTAAACAAACAGATTTGAAGCCAATTAGCTACGTTAGAAGCAAAAAAAAAACTGGTTCTTTTTTTACTTTTTTTTCTTACATATACATATGTTTATTAAGTTTCCACTTTTGCCTTCACAGAATTTAAAAGGCTTAAAATTTAATAATAACAATGTTTAACATAAGGACTAAAAACAAAAACCTCATAAAGAACAAATGAAGATAAATACATTCAGAAATGAAATCAGACAATTGCTGCATGGAAATATTAAGCAATAATAAAAACTGGCTCTTTTTATTCTTCTGATTCTTAACTCTTTTGATTCTTATCTGTTCTTTAAATAGCCATCATGATCTCCAGTTGGAATCCTATCAAGCGAAAAACAATTATATAATTTGTCCTTAGAATCCTGCTTTACAAAGAAATCTCTACTTCATGATACCAAAAATATAATATATTTAAACTATTACAATAAAAAGATTTGGGGTATTAACAGATATGCTGAGTTTCAGGCAAAAACAACAAAAGTTGTTTTATAGATCTAGTGCAATAGACTAGATTCACATTGTTTATAATTTTTGATGGGTCACATCCAGACTAAGCTTGGCTTGTCATATACAGAACAAATGAGCAAATGTGGATGAGCACTGCTGAGTAAACATTGAAGGAGCACTGTGGTCCTTCCTGTGTTTATATAATCCAATGACAAAACAATTACTGAAGCTCAGGAGATGGTCCTAACTTGACCTTGCCCTTCCCTTGGTGTCAAAGTGTCCACACCATCTCTGCCATCTTCCCAGTTCACCATGAGGTTGAACATATTTAGGTATTGTTCTCACATTCAAGGGCCTTAACATCCTTTCTTAATTGCTTCATCCCAGGCCCTTTAAAACCACCTTCTTTTATAGTGATAGCCACCACCCATTTCAGTCATTCCTACCCCAAATCTGATCTTCAACAGACCTTTCTGGTGACTCTCGCCCTTCCTAATACACTTCCCTGTTGAAACCTATCCTTCATGTAGCTGCAGCAATCTTCCATAATTGACATTGGATAAGGGTGTCTTCCTGATGAGAACCTATAGTAGCTTCCTGTTGCATACCAGATGAAAGCTACACTGGTCTATCTAGACCTCTCAGCCCTTCAGAAATTTAAGTCTTTTCCACCTCACCACTCCAGTAAACAGATATGCTTGTGTCCAAGATCAGAATGGCTAATGTTATAACTATTAAAACATAGGCTCCCTAAGTGCAGGTACTTCTTTTTGGCTTGTCCATTGATGTTGAATGAACAAACAAATTTTGGAGTCTCTGAATTTTTTTCAATGTGAGATTTCTTTCACTTGGAATTCCAATCCCTTCATTCTCCACCAAGTCTTTTTCCTTGTTTTCTTCAAAATCAAGCTCAATAAGATGCCATGTTCCCCTTCATACTCATCAAAGTCCAATTATTCCAGTAGTCCTCTCTTCATCTACCTTTAGACCAGTGTTTTTCAACCTTTTTCATCTCATGGCACACTTGAACTTATAGTTAAACTTCTGTGGCACACTTAAATTATGTTAATTTTAAAAAAAGAAGAATATATATATATATATATATTTTTTTTTTTTTAGACAGAGCCTCAAGCTGTCCCCCTGGGTAGAGTGCTGTGACATCACAGCTCACAGCAACCTCCAACTCCTGGGCTCAAGTGAGTCTCCTGCCTCCGCCTCCCAAGTAGCTGGGACCACAGGCGCCCACCATAATGCCTGGCTATTTTTTGATTGCAGCCATCATTGTTGTTTGGCAGGCCCGGGGTGGATTCGAACCTGCCACCTTACATGTATGTGGCTGGCGCCTTAACCACTTAAGCCACAGGCGCTGAGCCAAAAAAAAAAAAGAATATTCTTATTGTGCTTTTAAC